CTCAAGCAATCTTTCTGCCTCAACCTCCTGAGTAGCTGGGACTACAGGCATGTGCCATCATGTCTTGCTCATTTTGTTTTTCTATATAATTTTAGTTGGCCAATTAATTTCTTTTCTATTTATGGTAGAGATGGGTCTCGCTTTTCCTCAGGCTGGTTTTGAACTCCTGACCTTGAGCGATCCTCGGCCTTGGCCTCACAGAGTGCTAGGATTACAGGCATGAGCCACCACACCCGGCCAATCATTTTAAATAACCAGCTAACCACCTATTGGCTTTGGTAATTTTCTCTAATGTTTGTTTGTATTTCATTGTATTCTGTTCTCTCTTATTTCCTCTTTTTACTTATTGTGGATTTACTTTGCTCATATTGTTAGGTGGAAACTTAGATCATTATTTTTGCACCTTTTTCCCCTGTCCGATATAAACATTTGAAATTAGAGATTTCTCTTTAAGCACAACTTTAGTTGTTCCTCACAGATTTTGACAGATTGCATTTTAATTAACATTTAGTTCAAAATGTTTTTTATTTTCCTTGGTAATTTCTTTTTGAACCATGAGTTGTTAAAAATGTTAAAAATATAATTTCTAAATAGTTGATCCTTTTTCTAGATTTTTATTATTGATTTCTAATTTAATTAGACTATCTTCTGTAAGATTTCAGTCTTTTGAAATTCATTGAGATTATTTTATTTAAAGTCTAGAATATGATCTATCCTGTTTAACTTTTTAGATGTACTTGTAAAGAATATAGATTGTATAGTTACTGAATATAAATTTCTATACATGTCAATAAGGTTAGGTGGTTGATATTGTACTTCAGATTTTTTATATTCTTAAAAATTTTTGCCTAATTGTTAGGGTCTTAAAAAATCTCTGAGTTTGCAGATTTGTTAGTAATTTCCTTTACTTCTGTCAGTTTTTGCTTTATAGATTATGAATCTCTTTTATTAGTTGCATTCACATTTATAATTGTTATAGATTTCTGATGTCTTAGCCCTTTAGTATTATAAAATGTTATCATTTATATCTGATAATATTCCTTATTTTTAAGTCTATTTTGTCTGAGAGTAATATAGCCATTTCAACTTGCTTGTGATTAGAGCTTACATGGTATATATCTTTTCACTCTTTACATTTATCTTTGTGTGTGTGTGCTTGAATACTTTAGGTATTAAAACAAATATCTTTTGTTTACTACCTCTATTTAATGTTAATATTGCCTTATCACACTGGCTGGGACCTCCTATATGATGTTGAATAAAGTGGTGAGAGTAGATATCCTTGTCTCCAGGGTATCTAGGATTGTAGGCATGCACTACTACACCTGGCTAATTTTTAAAATTTTTTTGTAGAGACAACGTCTTTATATGTTGCCCAGGCTGGTCTCAAACTCATGGGTTTAAGAGATCTTCCTACTTCAGCCACCCAAGTGCTAGGATTACCGGCATGAGCCATTGCACCCAGCTAATTTCAAATGCATTTTCTGTCCCAGGATTTCTCCTGTTCTCATAGGACTCTAATTACATATCTGTTAGTCTGCTTGGTATTATGCCCTCATTCTCTGAGGCTTTATTTATTTTTTTTTAGTCTTTTTCTTTTCTCGTGTTTGGATTGGATAAATATTCTTGGTTTATCTTTACATTCACTGATACTTCTACCATCTCCAGTCACTCTTAATCCTTTCCAGTGAATTTTTCATTTTAGTTGTACTTTTGAGCTCTAAAATTTTCATTTGATTTTTTTCATAGTTTTCTCTGCTGAAGTTGTCCATCTATTTATTCATTACATATGTGTTTTCCTTTAAGTCCCTGAATACATTTAACCTGCATTAAAGTAATTGTTTAAATTCAAGTCATCTTAGGGTCTTTTTCTATTCTTTGCTTTTTTTCCTTAAATATGGGTCACATTTTTCTGATTTGTTCTCATGGCTGCTGATTTTTTGTTAAATAATGGACACTATGGACAATACATGGTAAAGACTCTGGATTCTGTTGTATTTCTCTAAAGAATGGGTTTTTTCCTAGCTGGCAAGGAAAAACTTGAGTATACTCTTAGGTATACTCAAAATTCTTTTTTTTTTTTTTTTTTTTGAGACAGAGTCTGGCTTTGTTGCCCAGGCTAGAGTGAGTGCCATGGCATCCGTCTAGCTCACAGCAACCTCAAACTCCTGGGCTCGAGTGATCCTTCTGCCTCAGCCTCCCAAGTAGCTGGGACTACAGGCATGCACCACCATGCCCGGCTAATTTTTTCTATATATATATTAGTTGGCCAGTTAATTTCTTTCTATTTATAGTAGAGACGGGGTCTCGCTCAGGCTCAGGCTGGTTTCGAACTCCTGAGCTCGAGCAATCCACCCGCCTTGGCCTCCCAGAGTGCTAGGAGTACAGGCATGAGCCACCTCGCCCGACCTGAACTGTATTTTTATATTTGCATCCAAATGCCTGTCATAGGGCCTTGCATGGGAAAGCATTCAACATATGTATATGTTTAAATGAATGAACTTTGTTGGTTTTGGCTAATTTGTGTGTTAAATTTTGTTTTTGTTTTTGAGACAGAGTCACTCTGTCTCCCCTGGGTAGAGTGCAATCGCATCATCATAGCTCACAACAACCTCAGAGTCCCGGGCTCAAGCGATCCTCCTGCTTCAGCTTCCCGAGTAGCTGGGACTACAGGTGTACGCCACCAGGCCTGGCTAATTTTTCTATTTTTTGGTAGAGAGGGTGTCTTGCTATGTTGCCCAGGCTCCTCTCAATCTCCTGGCCTTAAGCAATCCTCTCACTTCAACCTCCCAAAGTTTTAGGATTACAGATGTGAGCTACTTTGCCCAACCCCATGTTTACTATATTATGGACAGAAAAGTTTTATTGGTTTATATACTACTTTGCCAATAGTGCATATTTATTTAATTAGTGTTATTGGTTTATAATTTAATTCATTCTGAACAGTGAGTATTCTGTTTCTCATTGCATTTTCTTTATGCTTTTAGTTTTTGAAGATTAATTGATATATGTTTGTGTTTTAGGCACTGTAGATTATAGAATGTTTCAGAAAAGTATACAAACGATTATACAATCTAGATAATGATATGCTGTGAAAGTAGTGCTGTGGAAGCCAAAAGAAGGAGAAATAATTTCTATCAGAGAGGATCTGTTTCAGAGTTCTTCTCATGTGCCAGAATCTTTATGCTGGAGGAGGAAGATTCTAACTTATGGAAGTAGGTAGAAAGACCATTCCAGAGAGAGAAAAGCATAAGCCAAGTGTGAGCAAATAAAGAGGCAAGAAATGATAATTTGTGTTCAGGAAACCAAATAGTATTTTCTGGATGAGGAGGAGTAGGAGGAAGATAGTAAAAGTGTTTTTTTTTTTTTTTTTTTTTTTTTTGAGGCAGAGTCTCACTTTGTTGCCCAGGCTAGAGTGAGTGCCGTGGCGTCAGCCTAGCTCACAGCAACCTCAAACTCCTGGGCTCGAGCGATCCTTCTGCCTCAGCCTCCCGGGTAGCTGGGACTACAGGCATGCGCCACCATGCCCGGCTAATTTTTTTTTTATATATATATCAGTTGGCCAATTAATTTCTTTCTATTTATAGTAGAGACGGGGTCTCGCTCAGGCTGGTTTCGAACTCCTGACCTTGAGCAATCCGCCCGCCTCGGCCTCCCAAGAGCTAGGATTACAGGCGTGAGCCACAGCGCCCGGCCGTAAAAGTGGTTTTAATGGTAATATAATAGTGAACACTTATTTTATGTCAGCTTTGCAAATGTTAACTTGTACTTCTGCTCATTTTATACATGAGAAAACTTGGTCCCAGGTAAGTTACATAACTTGCCTGGGATCACAGAGTTAGCAAGTGGCGGAGCCAAGAAAAGAGCCCCAGCAATCTAATTCTAGAATTCAAATCCATAACCACTGGCTTCTGGAGGACTTTGATATCAACTTAGGGATTTTAGAATCCTGGTTTCCTGCAATGCAGCCGGGAATACCATATCCCTTTGCTGTGCTCATACATTTCTGACGGCTTTTTACTGGCTATAAAATCTGTTACCTGGAGATATGGGTTGGAATGGAATGGGGAAAAGACTAGAGAGGTAGGATATCAGGCAATTATAGTAGAGCAGGCAATAGGTATTGTGAAAATCTATGACTGTTACTATATTATATTAATAGATCAAAAGCATACAGTGTAGTTTTTCTCTTTTTTATTTCAATAGATTTAGGGTGTACAAGTGGTTTTTTGATACGTGGATGAATTATACAGTGTTGAAGACAGGGCTTTTAGTGTACCTGTTACCGAATAGTATACATTGTACCTGGTAGGTAATTTTTCATCCCTCAGCCCCCTCCCCTTCTCCCAAGTTTTTCTATAAAATATAAAATTCTATTTTCCTTGTATAAATCTTCAGATATAGCATAAGAAGAAAAATGTGGTTGTTTATTGCTGGAGTTGTAAGAATGAGATAGCATAAAGCTTACTTTTCGGTTAGCTAATGCATTTTTTCTTCTATACTTTATGAGTTACAGAAACATTTGGCACTGCTGAGATCTTTTTTATTCACTTTTATTCCTCTCTGAAAAAAGTCATATAAATGAGACCTGGAAGAAAAAATTCAAATAAAACATTCTTTTGTAAGGAAAGTTTTGTCTTTTAATGTAAAATAAGGTACTTTTGGTCTCTTCCTGTCATTTTCTGAAGAATGAAAATTAGCAAATCTGGAATTTATAAAAGAAACTGCAAATAAGTAACAGAGAAACCTAAAAGCTTTTCGTCATCTGCTGTACCACAAGATTTAGTTGTGTGACTCAAGTTCATAGTACTTGCCTCCCAGATGATTGTATTTACTTTAAAGATGTTTGAGGTTCAGGATTGCTGAAATGGTGGAATTTGAGCTAAGGGACTTTTGCTTTGAGTATTTATGCTAGAAATTTAGTTCATTAATTTTAAGTTTGGATTTCAATAAGCTAATCTATATTTTAAAATCTTTTTCAAATCTATTCTCTTTTTTAGGTTATAAATAAGGTTCATCTTAAGGAAAATCATGTTGTAAAGAGAGATGTTGATGAGCATTTGAGAATCAAGACTGTCTATGATAAAAGTATTGAAGAGTAAGTATACCATTATTTTGTCATCTTTTTTATTATGAATCTAAATGTTAAAGATGTTTTATGTGTTCCCTAAAGTAGAAAAAGTCCATAGATGAAACTAAAGGGGCTAGTGTAGCATCAAGATGGAATTAAGTAAAAAAATGCATTTTAGTCTGAAAAGATAAAGACCATGGGATATTGTGAAAGTCTAGACATCATGAATAATTTAAACAGAACAAATGTGGATCTACTTGGATGTAGTTAATAACAGACCTAGAAGGTACTCCTCAGTAAGTACTTAGAGGAAAAATAAAAGGAAGTAGTAATATGAATAATAATAATAAAGTTTACAAAAGTATTAGCCAGACAGATTTTATAGTCTAATTTTTATTTAGTATAAGAAGGGTCCAGAAAACAGATAAATTATGAAGCTATAGTAGTCTGTGAAGAGCTATTAATAGTTGCTGTCTTTCCCTATCCTTAACATCCCCAACGAATCAGATAACATATAATCATGCTTAGCACCATGCTTTGGCACAGAGTAAGCTTTCAAATACTCATTGAGGTAAGTTGAAATTTTGGAAGATAGTTTTTGTATGCTTCCATACAGCATTCCTTGGGTCTTTTGACACATGCATCCTGAACAGATGAGACGTGCTCTGCCTCAGAGAGGCCATTCTTATGTTTTATGTCATTATTTTCAGGTTGCTCCCTGAGAAAAGAAATCTTGTAAAGGTATGTACTAAATACTCATGGCTTAAATCGGATACTTAAAATGGATGCATTTTATTATATATGTAAATTCTATCTCAATAAAGAAAAATATACGTGTGACTATTTTGTGAATGACCAAGTTAAATTTGTTGGTAGTGAACGTATCTATCATTTTACCAAAGGTATCTTTGTGATACACTCACCAAAACTTTGTTAGTATTAGATATTAAATTAATCATCATATTTTATAATTTGATCTTCAGTCAGTATTCATTTTCTTGTTTGCTCTCTGAACTTTTTTGGGAGCAGGGAAATAGGTGAGGTAGGGTAAAAAAGATAAATTTTGAAATACATTGAGAACCCTATTCTCTTGGTGAAAATGTTCATTCTCCTGAAGATTAATTGACCTGATAGTATGATATGCCAAAGTTTGTAAAGGTGCTAATCTCATCAGATTTTTAACTTTCTGGAGTCACACCCATACACATTAAGCCAGTTCACTATGGGCCACAGATATTGGTGAGTTTAACTAAACATAAGATTTTCTTAGCATAAATTACCTTAATGTTGGAATCATCTAAATCAGTGTCAAAGTTGTAGTCATCTAAATTAATACTTGAGATTTATGTTTTCTAATTTTCTATTTAAATAGAGTAGGGAATGGAAGTTTCTATGTAGTGCTGTTTTCCCAAACTCAACTAGAAAATGAGAAAATTCTTTTGCTCATAATTCACTGTCTTCCTACCCCTGCCACACAGCCTTGTGAATATATAGTATCTATATTCTAGAATTGTAAGGCTTTTCCTTTTCATCTCCCTCAGTCATTAATATCCTGTGCTTACTTGTTTTAAATATAATTTATCCCTTGACTTTAATTCTGACTGAGTTTTTTTTTTTCCAACTTTTATTTAGAACAAACTTTTCCCACAAGCTATTTCTTATTTAGAGAAGACTTTTCAGGTTCGTAGACCTGCTGGCACTATCTTACTCAGCAGGTATGTCATATTAAACACAGATCGTTTTATTCAGTCATTTAGTACTCTGCCCTCCCCATTCTACCAATATGGCAAAGTAAGAAACTTATACTAGAATATTTTATTATGCTTGCTCTTAGAGACCCAACTGCAAAGTATAATAAAAAAGCACCTGCTGGATAATCATTCTTTCCCAATGGCCCACTGGATCTTTTCCTAGGGGTGTAGTTGTCCTCTGTTTCCCTCACCCCCTTTCTCCCTCCTTTATGTGACTGTAGTAATGGCTTTGTGAAGTACTTGGGTGTTTGAAAACCTAGATCAGGTTTGCTATAGAAACAAAATACTTTTTTAGCCTACTTTCCTAACTAAAATAGTAACCATTATTAATGAAGCAATATAGTAGCTACCAGTTGATTATCATGATTTTAACTACTCTAAAATATTCTTTTTTTTTTTTTTGTAATTAAACTTTGATGTACAAATGAACTGAAGACAATGTGCAACAAACCAATACCTACGGAAGGAAAATGATCCTCATAGATACTGTACTGGGGAATGTGCAGTGCATACAAAATGTGGCCCAGTTATAGTGCCTGAGGAACATCTCCAGGTAATTCACCCTGCTTTTAGCAATGAGATTTTGAGTCTGTAGAATCTGTGAGAGTTACCAAGAAAAAAAGTTCAAAGCCATAATAGCTTCATTCTTCTACAAAAAGCAATCAGTGTTGGTATGCTGATTTTATTTCAGTGGTTTTTCAAGTAAGTTTAATGATCTTCTTCCCTCCACCTCCATTTATCTGTGGGTCTGCTTAGTTAGTTCAGCTTAGGACTTTGTCTTCCAAAACATCTTTTGGCAGGTATACCTCATTTTTTAAAGAGCAATTTGACATCTCTTAAAATAAAAAATGTGTGTTCGTCAACCCAACTGAGAAATTTATTCCACAAAAATGCTAATAACTGTGTAATATGTGTTCAGGGATGTTTCTTGCAAAACTATAAATATGCCTATATAGAGTATTAGTTAAATTATGGTAGAAGAAGAAAAACGATGGTATCCCTAAATAGTAGAATACTATGCAGTTGTTAAAGAATGAAGTAAATATCTATGTACTGACTTGGAAAGATATTTGAGCTCTTAAATGAAAAAAAAAAAGTTGTAAATCAGTATGTGTAGTTAGCCTATTTTATTTGAAAGGTATAGACATATGATTAAAATTGTGAAACAATCTGGAGGAATACACATGTTAAACCTAGATACATACCAAAATGTAAATTTTTTCGTAAGAGTTGGATTGTGAGGAAGATGCTTTTCTTTGGTAAGTTATGATTATGTTCTGGCTTTTCACATTGAACATCTATTACTTACATCAGAAAAATCAAGAATTTAAAACATACAAGAAAACCAATTTTTTATACATATAAATCTGAAAATAGGATTATTGCTAAAGCTGGTTTATTTTTTTTAATTTAGCTTTGTTCTTTCATTACTTACAGAAAATGAATACATTATTATTATTATTTTTTTGAGACAGAGTCTCACTTTGTTGCCCAGGCTAGAGTGAGTGCTGTGGCGTCAGCAGCAATCCTCCTGCCTCAGCCTCCCAAGTAGCTGGGACTACAGGCATGCACCCCACCATGTCCAGATAATTTTATATATATATATTAGTTGGCCAATTAATTTCTTTCTATTTATAGTAGAGACAGGGTCTCGCTCTTGCTCAGGCTGGTTTCGAACTCCTGACCTTGAGCCCACCTCGGCCTCCCAGAGTACTAGGATTACAGGCGTGAGCCACCGCGCCCGGCCATGAATACATTATTGAACATTGACTTTTATAGTCAAAGTTAAGTATATATTTAGATTAAGTTTATTTTGTAAATTTTTTCTTTTAAGATATTTGATACTCAAGGCTTTTGTTACACTATATATTGGCACCAATACAACTGGATAGTTTATCTTTCATTTCTTTTCTCAAATTTCTTAAGAGTGTAAAGGGCTTTAGAAATATGTTTAAAAATTAAAACAAGTTATTACATAATTTTGCATCTCTTTTCCCAAGACATTTCCTGGATATTTTATGACACATTTCTTTGCTTTTTTCCTAAGGTGTTGTTTGTTGTTTTAATTCTCTTGGCTCTTCCAAATTCTGCTTTCTACTTAACTTCTTGAGGTTCTGGGTTTTTCTTTTTTTATTAAATAGATATTCATGGGAAAGAGGACTTAAAAATCACAACTTTTTATAACACCAACTATTAATAAGCTAAAGTAGTTGAAATTATTCCTTCAAGTGTATTTATTTTAAAAATTGATACATACAATTTTATGTATTTATCATGTACTACATGTGTTTTGAAGTATATGTATGCTACATTGTAGAATTGTTAAGTCTATCTAATTAACAAATGCATTACCCCCACATAGTTAATAATTTTTGTGGTAAGAACACTTAACGTCCACTCTATAAGCATTTTTTAAGAATACATATCATCATTATAGTCATCATGCTGTACAATAGATTTCTTGAACTTATTCCTTCTAACTATATAATTTATTCTTTGACCAACATTTCCTCAACCCCTACTCCCTAAAGCAATTGAATTTAAAAACCATAATTACATGTGTTAGAAAAGCAAGAGTAAACAATGTGTACTTTTTCCTAAATGAAATGAGAATTCTGGAGTCTTTTTGTCATCTCTCTATAAGCATTGCTTACACCTAAAAAAAATCACAATTTACTGATTTTTCTGTTTCTAATTTGGAGCTTGTGATTGTTTGTGAACTTTGATAAAGAAGCTTTTAAAAAATAAAACTTTATTAAAGCAAGTAAGATTTGCTTAGAAAACTAGAAACAAGGGCAATATCGTGATACGGCTTTGATTTTTACCTATATACTCTTGTATTATCTGAATTTTTAGCAAGATCCATGAATTACTTTATAATAGGAAATATATTTCTATTAGATAAAATGTTTTTTATTAATTAATTTAGAATTAACTATAGATTCAAAGGAAGTTGGAATAAAATAGGGAATCTAGTTTCTAGGTTTTGAAACCTTTTCTATTTCAGTTTTTTCTCTACCCTAGTTAGTTGGCCTTTATAAGTAACAATTGTGTGTTTTATTTGAGATTATAGATTTATGATCATTTTATATAAAGTAGAAATCTTAGTAAATTCCAAATTAGGGATAGGAACTGAATAGAGAGAGGGAGGTATAGATTTTGATAAAAGCTTAGGAATAATAAAGATTAATGCAATACTGTATTTATAGCATGGATTCAATGTAAGATTAAATGTCACTACAGCTAACTTTGTCTCTGGTCTGGTTTTCTGTTGAACCTCATTGGTGCAGCAATGCAGGGTCTGTCGTGGGGGTAAATGGCCCTGTAGAGCAGTGGGTGTGTCAGACCAAGAAGGTGTCCGGGATGCAGACTTTGTTCTTTATGTTGGTGCTCTGGCCACTGAGAGGTGCAGCCATGAAAACATCATCTCTTATGCAGCCTATTGTCAGCAGGAAGCAAAAATGGACAGGTAAACTTTCCTTTGATACTAATTTCTCAAGATCTACGCTGGGAACTTGTAAAGCAAACCGCATTTTAAGTTTTAAGGAAATCTAGCATTTGCTGGATTTCCTCTAGTAGTAAGAAATAGCATGCTCCCTGGATTTGGGGTGGGGCCACTGGGGCAGTGATAGGATTGTTACTCATATGGTAATGGAAATTTTTAGTCAAAATGAAAGAAAAGTGGAACACTTCCTTTAACTTTTCCCTCTGCCATTCCTCTTCCATTCCACTCATGTTAATTTTACCCACAAATTCCAAAGAATAAGTCTACTGTCAGGAGAATTTTCTTTTGAGGTGAATACCTCTTTAAGGAAACAATTAGAACTTTAATTTTAGCACTTCTGTGCGAAAACTATAAGTCCTATGTTAAAAATGTTCATCTAATTGTCATATCATTTGTTATAAGTACTTAGCTAAATTATCACTTAAAAATTCAAAGTCCTCTTTATTTACAAAAGATTTCCCAAATTTTCCTGCTGAAGCAGCTCACCCTTGAAATGAAATGTTATATACTCAGAAGATTACTTGTCACATACCAGACAAATCAATTAAAGGTAGTAGAAATTGTCACATGCCTTGTAATACTACAGTTCCCAAATCCTGGGCTGCGAACCTATACCTATCTGTGGCCTGTTAAGAACTGGGCTGCACAGCAGGAGGTTTGCAGAGGATGAGCAAGCGAAATTTCATCTGTATTTATAGTCGCTCCCCATGGCTGGCATCACCACATAGGCTCCACCTCCTGTCAGATCAGCGGTGGCATTAGATTCTCATAGGAGGGTGAACCCTACTGTAAACTGTGCGTGGGAAGGATCTAGGTTGAGTCTCCTTATGAGAATCTAATGCCTGATGATCTGAGGTGGAGCTGAGGCAGCAATGCTAGCGATGGGGAGTGGCTACAAATAGAGATTATGATTAGCAGAGAGGTTTGATTGCACAATAAATGTAATGTGCTTGAATCATCCCCAAACCATCCCCCTTCCCCCTCAGTCTGTGGAAAAATTGTCTTTCATGAAACCTGTCCCTATGCCAAAAAGGTTGGGGACTGCTGTTGTAATACATTGTATGTAACATTCTTAAATCTAGGAGAGGTTAGTGTAACTAATTCATGTGTATGTAAGGCCATTGCTGAGGTGCTGAATATCCATATATCTTTCAAAAGCTAACGTCACTTTCACTGATAGTGGTATGTTCATTTAAGGAAAAAAATGCAACTATTAGTTGAACCAAGTCAGCAATGCAAAGGAAACACTGATATATGATTCAGAATTATACTGTCAATTCTGAAGTTGTGAACAAGGTCAAAATCAGCAGCATGTATCATGAAAGTGATCTATTACCATGATACTATGTAATTGTTGATTGGTGAAATAGACTGAAAAATCTTTAGATTGAGGCCTGGGCGCAGTGGCTCACGCCTATAATCCTAGCACTCTGGGAGGCTGAGGTGGGTGGATTGTTCGAGGTCAGGAGTTCAAAACCAGCCTGATTAGAGCTGGAACCCATACTATTAAGTATGGAAAAACAAGCACCACATATACTCACCAGCAAATTGGTATTAACTGAGCAGCACCTAAGTGGACACATAGGTACTACAGTAATAGGGTATCGGGCAGGTGGGAGGGGGGTGGGTATATACATATATAATGAGTGAGATGTGCACCATCTGGGGGCTGGACATGCTGGAGACTCAGACTTGTGGGGGGAGGGAAGGAATGGGCATTTATTGAAACCTTAAAATCTGTACCCCAATAATATGCCGAAATAAAAAAAAAAACAAAAATAACCCAGCCTGAGCAAGAGCAAGACCCTGTCTCTACTATAAATAGAAAGAAATTAATTGGCCAACTAATATATATAGAAAAAATTAGCCGGGTATGGTGGCACATGCCTGTAGTCCCAGCTACTCGGGAGGCTGAGACAGCAGGATTGCTTGAGTTCAGGAGTCTGAGGTTGCTGTGAGCTAGGCTGACACCACAGCACTCACTCTAGCCTGGGCAACAAAGTGAGACTCTGTCTCAAAAAAAAAAAAAATCTTTAGATTGAATATTGAGAAAGCTTAGTGTCAACTGTTGAGTGTGCTACTGCAGAAGAAATGTATTTTTGTGAATATTTATGTGCTAGTGTTCCCTTTATTCCTGACAAGCTGTCATTACATTTATGATATATAATTAATGATATCTCAATATCAAGGAAATGTGGTATTTGAAATGATAAGTGAATGATAAATTACTTGATAAAAGGAGATACTTTCTTAAACTGTCTTTGAGAAACATACCTTCATAATAGTAGTACTGCAAATCATGTTTCTTTATCTTAATTTGAACTAAACTATATGGATTGCATACATACACACATACTGTCTTAGGTTGGGTATGAGTGCCAAAAAGACTTTGCAAAATATCGTACATGGTTTGATTCTATATGTATTTTTAAATCTATATGTGTGCTTAGATGTGCTATGGAAAAAGCAAGAAATAATTAGGGTTATCAGTCATCCCAATTTGCCCAAATAGCTCTGGTTATAACACTAAAGTCCCACATCCCATGAAAGCCCTCAATCCTGGGCAAACCAGGATGGCTGGTCACTCTAAAAATTATGCATAGCAAATTGTTGATAGTAGTTTCCTCTGATAGTGGAATTTAGTAGGGGTAGAGTACAAAACAGGGAATTTTCACTTTTTTCTTTATACATTTCTATATTGTTTGAATTTATACCTTTTTACAATGAGCTTTTATTATTTTAATTATAAAAGACATGTTAAAATGAACTTTATATGTTAGGGACAGAGTGACTTCCCTGAGAATAAGGAAGAGGATGTGAAATCTCAGGTTAAGTTGGGTCTAGATCCATTAATCTTATTTCATCATTTTTTTGTTGTTGTTTTTTGAGATAGGGTCTTGCTCTCTTTCCCAGGCTAGAGTGCAGTGGTGTCATCATAGCTCACAGCAACCTTAGAGTCCTGGGCTCAAGCAATCTGTCTCTCTCAGCCTCCCTAGTAGCTGGGACTACAGGCTTGTGCCACCACGCCCAACTAATTTTTCAATTTTTTTTTTTTTTTTTTTTTTTTTTTGAGACAGAGTCTCGCTTTGTTGCCTAGGCTAGAATGAGTGCCGTGGCATCAGCCTAGCTCACAGCAACCTCAAACTCCTGGGCTCAAGCAATCCTTCTGCCTCAGCCTCCCAAGTGGCTGGGACTACAGGCATGCGCCACCATGCCCGGCTAATTTTTTCTATATATATTAGTTGGCCAATTAATTTCTTTCTATTTATAGTAGAGACGGGGTCTCGCTCTTGCTCAGGCTGGTTTCGAACTCCTGACCTCGAGCAATCCGCCCGCCTCGGCCTCCCAGAGAGCTAGTCAATTTTTTTTTTGCAAAGAGGGGGTCTCACCCTTGCTTAGGCTGGTCTCAGACTCCTGGCTTCAGCGGAGCCTCCCACCTTGGCCTCCCAAGTACTAGGATTATAGGCATGAGACACTATGCCTGGCTTTTATTTCAGTATCTTGATAATGTTGAAAGCACTTAAAGTATCTAATTGTCTTCTAGTGAGAGAATCCAAAACAGGAGTCACAGAGATGAAAATCCCATAACTGAGAGAGGTGTTTCAGTTTCATTGCACTGCTCTGTTTACTTATAGCACTTTAACATTCGGTCCATATTTGATATGAATGAGTAGCTTAAAGAATAAATATTCTTTGTACCAGTGAATATGAAGCTATTCCTATATGTCTACTCATATCTGGGGAAAGATTTTAATTTTTTTTTGAGAAGAGTGTTGATGTTGGAAGAAAGCAGTATATCTTCAGTTACTCTTTTTGAAAGAAACAAAACATTTCTTCAAAGCTGCTGTATTGCATTAATTCATACCTACTGTGTTTCTGGGAGACTAGGTGAACAAAATAGACATGTGTACCTGCCTTATGGAATTTACAGATTACAGGAGGTAGATATTAATTAGTTATGTGTTCTTGCAAGTAAATATGTGATTTCAAAATATGATAAATACTTTGTAGAAAATAAACAGGGTGCTGTAACATAAAAGAAAACAAAGGGAGGAAACATCATTTAGATAAATTAGGCAAGGAATGCCTCTTTGAAAGAGAAATTGTAGCTGTTACCTGAACATTGATAGGCGTTAGCCAAATAAAGAGGTAGGGGAAGAACTTATGTTAGGAAAAAGCCATGTGTACCTGTTGCTGTCAGGAGCCACTTCAATGGACACTGTTGGAGGATGAGTCCTTGGAGAGGCAAACAGGGCTCTTTTATTCTGAGCGCTGTAGGAAGTCCCTGAAGGGTTTTAAGCCTGGCATCCATTTTCTATTTTACAGGTCACTGTGGCAACGTTTTCATATGTGAATTATGTTCATACTTTTTCTAAGTCTATTGCTATCAAGTAGGAAGGAAGTGTACTGTATTTTTTAAATTTAAATAAGGCAAATGTTCTTTGTAACTAGGCAATCATAATTTAGTGAGGTTTGTGATATTTCTGTGGTAAAAAGTGAAGGTAGTGGTGGGAGAAAGGATCTTGGGGTTCTTTAGCATTGTCTGTTTGCCATAGCTTTTGAAAGACAGCTGGTGCATATTGGAATTACTGAATTATTCTAGACTCTGAGTCCTAGTCTTCTCTTGGACTCTTGAGTTCTAGGCACAGACAGAGATGTAGAATTCTATAGATTCTAGAAGATGATGGAAGGTAAAAATCTTGCTGTGCATGTAGATAGTGTTAGGGCAGGAGAGAGGGAATAGCAAGATGGAGATAAGAAGGATCAGCAGCTTTCCGCAAGCTAAGCGATTTGCTTATTGCCTGCCCTGTTGTGTAGCTGGTTTCCCTCGATACCTGCTTGTCACTGTGCCTGTCAATATAGTGGAATGCTGAAGTCAAATATGGCTTTTGCAAGTAAAATAGTGTTAGAATTTAAATTTTTCAGTTTATTCCTTTTTTGAGTATTATATTGCCATATTTTAAAAATTCACACTGAAGTATAATCATCTGACTCCATCCTGTTGTGCAACCAGGTGTTGATTTGCTATGCCACAGAGAAGCAGAGGGTTCATGTCTTGAAGTAAAAGTAAGCTGTTATGATGCAAAATTACATTTGCTATTTAGTAATGATTTTTCTGTCCTTGAGCAGTTTTTGATAGAGAAGTATACATTAGTAAATATTGTAATAAATATTTAACAAATAAATATTGGAATATAATTAAAAATTCAATGTCTATTTTAACAGGCCAATAGCAGGATATGCTAACCTGTGTCCAAATATGATCTCAACCCAGCCTCAGGAGTTTATTGGGATGCTGTCCACAGTGAAACATGAGATTATTCATGCCTTGGTAAATTCTACTGTAACCTACTGTTATTTCTTCATGCCTTGATTTTTCTGCTTTTTATGTTCTCATTTGGATGCACATATTAGTTTTAAGATTGTGTGGATTCTTAGATTCATGTTCAGTAAAACTTGATTAATTAGGACTCTGCCAATAAAGAGTTTTGATGATTAGGATAGTGACTAGGTTGATTTTTGCTGTGTAATATGATTAAACAAGTAAATCCATTAGATAAATTGGATTTTTGAGAGAATAATTAAGCTTCTTAAGAAGAAACTTAGTAATTTAGAAAAATTCACTTTCCTCTAGAATGATAACTCATATGCTACTAATGATTATAGCTCTTTTCTATCTCTTACAGAGAGTTCATTTCTAAAAAATCTTCTTGATCTATTTAGGCTTTCTAAAATTTATATACATTAACTGATTCAGAACTTCTAATTCCTTTTTCCCAATTTGTCCAAAATAGTGAACTTTTACTGTATATCTAGGGAATTAAAAGAAGTTGCCTAAGACCATAGGAAATATTCTTCTGATGACATTCGTGTGTTTAGAAAATAAATGACAGCAAAATGCAGTGGTTAAAAGAGAGAATGGATCACACAGACCTAGGTACAAATCTTCTTAGCTCTATCCCTAAAAATTTTGGGGATCTTGGGCGCAAATTACTTAGCCTTTGTAAGCCTCATTTTTTTTTCTTAAAGGTTAAATGAGACAGTCCCTATAAATAGCTTAGTACCATGTTGTACATAGTAAAGTGTAATAAAATTAATGGCCATTACAAGCTCTAAGCCAGGGCGCACACTAAGAAAAATTAATGTCTGTTATTTATTAGTCTCATTTAGTGAGCTATCATGTATGACCTTGAAATGCAAACATCAGTCTTTAAGTCAGCAAATACATTGAACAACAAGGTAAAACTCAAGTGTAACTATATAGTACTTATGTCCTTCAAGTAAGGAGATTCTAAAATGAAAGATCTGTTTTCCTTTTATTAAAAAGAATCTAGGCCGGGCGCTGTGGCTCACGCCTATAATCCTAGCTCTTGGGAGGCCGAGGCGGGCGGATTGCTCAAGGTCAGGAGTTCAAAACCAGCCTGAGCAAGAGCGAGACCCCGTCTCTACTATAAATAGAAAGAAATTAATTGGCCAACTGATATATATATAAAAAATTAGCCGGGCATGGTGGCGCATGCCTGTAGTCCCAGCTACTCGGGAGGCTGAGGCAGAAGGATCACTCAAGCCCAGGAGTTTGAGGTTGCTGTGAGCTAGGCTGACGCCACGGCACTCACTCTAGCCTGGACAACAAAGTGAGACTCTGTCTCAAAAAAAAAAAAAAAAAAAGAATCTAAGTTAAACCTGCTAATTATAGTGAAAGACAAATACCATCCTAAGTAACATTTTAAGTTCTAAGCACTATAGATACTTGATGTTGAGAGAACCAGAGAAAAGCAACAGGGTTTAAGTCTAGTTTAAGTGAGCATAAATGCAGAGGTTCCAGACATAAGATGTATTAGGTTATAAACAGGCAATTCACAAAGAAAAAAATCCAGCTGGCCTAGAAATGTATAAGAAGGTGTTCAGTCTTACTTTAGTGGTCAGGGAATCTTAAAGCAAGACACCAATACCTGTCAGATTAGCAAAGATTAATAATTAGTATTGTCAAGGACATAAGAAAATGGGAACTTAAATAATGTAGTGGAAGGGTAAATGTTCAAAACCACTTGGGTGAGCAATTTGGCATTATGAAACTGTAACATGAAACTGTGCATATCCTATAATTCAGAGATTCTGTGCCATTCATGCTCAAAGAGATTTATACAAAGATATTTGCTGTAACTTTATAATAAAAATTTTTTACAACCTTATTGACAATTTTCAGTGGAACAGAAATGTTTTATTCATAAAATGGAATATTATATAGCATTTAAAATGAATGAGCTAGAAATAATTTATCAATATAGATAAATTCCCAAAACATGATGTTAAGTAAGAAATCAAGATGCAAAAATATGTGTACTGCATGGTACCATTTTTTTTTGGTGGGGTAAAATATAAATATATCTAAACATAAAACTTACCATTTTAATCATTTTTAAGTGTACAGTTCAGTGGCATAAGTATATTCATATTATTGTGCAACCATTACCACTATTCATGTCCAGAACTCTTTCATCATCCTATACTGTTACTTGCTACCCCATTTCCCCAGCCCCTGGTAACCACTGTTCTACTTTCTGTCTCTGTGAAGTTGACTATTCTGGGTACCTCATATAAGTGGTGTCACACGGTATTTGTCCTTTAGCCTGGCTTATTTTATTTAACATAATGTCTTTATGTAGTGTGTACCAGAATTTCATTCCTTTTTAAGACTGAATAATACTCCCTTTTATATGTATACAAAACATGATACATGTTAAAGTGTAATACATTTTTAAACTGTCAAAATTATATCTTGTTTATGGTTATAAATGTTGTAAAACTATAAAGATATGTATGGGAGTTATGTACATTGGCTTCAAGGTAGTGATCACCTCTGGGAAGAGAAGGAGAAAGGGATGAGTTAATGAGGTTTCAGCAATATTACTTTTCAGTGTTTTCTTTCTTTAGAGAAAGTCTTCTAAGGAAAGTATGGCAAAACTAACATCATAAATCCTCTTAAAGAGTACATATGAGTTTCTATTAGATTATTTTTTACTTTATTATATATTTGGAATTATTTCTAAAATGTAAAAACCTAAGAAAATTTAAAGATAAGCTTAAGCTTTAAAAACCATGTTGGGATGGTAAGAATTAAATAGTTCACAAACACAGATAATCCCTGTAAAGTTATATATGCTCATAGCTGTCAACCACAGTCATCCATGGTACTTTGTTTCTTTGTGGGGTTTTTTGTTTGTTTTTTTTTTTTTTTTTTAAGGCAGAGTCTCACTCTGTAATCCAGGCTAGAGTGGCATGGCGTGACATCAGCCTAGCTCACAGCAACCTCAAACTCCTGGGCTCAAGCAATCCTCCTGCCTCAGCTCCCTGAGTACCTGGGACTACAGGCATGTGCCACTATGCCCGGCCAATTTTTTCTATGTATTTTTAGTTGGCCAATTAATTTCTTTCTATTTTTAGTAGATACAGGGTCTCACTCTTGTTCAGGCTGGTTTTGAACTCCTGACCTTGAGCGATCCAGCCACCTTGGCTTCCCAGAGTGTTAGGATTACAGGTGTGAGCCACTGGATCTGACCAGTGGTACTTTGAATATTAGATGAGCCTTCTGAAATGTGAGTGCTTAGAAAATTTTGTCAAGTTGACAAGGTGGAAAAAATGTGTATTTAGAATAGTACAAAGGATGAGGCAGATTATACTATTTTAAGCTTTGTATAACTTTAGTGAATTGTATATTAAACAACCATTTAATTTTTCTTTGCATTTTAAGAGATTAAAAAAGAAGAAGAAAACATGTAGGGATAAAAGGATAACCTGGATTCCATTAATCATTTTGACAAGTCTTGAATAACACAGAGGCAACAGTTATGTAAGCAGAGTTGCCAAAGAAATTTATTAAATGATCATTTATGAATTGTTAGCTATTTGGATATAAGCTATAGCATATTCTCAATGTATAAAACATAAAGAAGTAGTTACAGAGTGCTTTGTTTTAGTTATTAGAAAGAAAGCAAGAAAAATCTCACTAATAAAATAGATATCAAATGATAATTTTTTTTGCCCCTTTTCTCCTTATTTGAAGAGGGGAGAGAGAAAGAATGGCAATTTGAATACCTTTATGTGAAGTATTCTTTATCTCAGTAAAGTTTGAGACTTCTTAAAAATAGTGTTTTTAAAATGTGATTATAAACTTACAAATTCACATTGTAAAAATATGTTTGGAGTATGGGTGATTTTACCCATTACCCTACCACCATTATAGAAAAAAACCAGCTAACATTTTGATATATTTGTTTGCAGTCTTTTTTCTTACATGTATATACATACACATATATTTCCATTCTTTTTCTCTGTGTGTGTATACATATTGATATATATGAAATGTGGACTTTGGAATTAGATTTTTAATTTTTATGAGTGCTGTCAGGAGCACACTTAATTCCGTGGCTCCCTACCCTACATGGTATTGTTAATGGTTTTAAAATATTAATAATAGCATTCCCTGGATGCAGTTGTAGAAGTTAGTAAATTCAAGTGAAGAAGCAATTGTGATAAACACAGCCAAAGAGTGTCTTTGTTACCATTACTGTTGGTGCCTTAGGTTTCCTTACGAAGTATAAGAACTTTTTTGTAGAAGATTTTTCCTCCCTTAAAATTCTGAGGTTTATGAATTAAGGATACTAAAAGGCCTATGAAAGTATCTGGCTATGGCAGAGCCCTGGGCTGCTACTTCTTCTGATACTATTGAAATCCTTGTAGAAAGGAAGTAGTGATGACTTGTACTACCTTCTCAAAATCAGAGGAAAGGAAATTGTTAGATAAGTAATGGTTTCTTTATGTGTGTATTTGAACTCATACAAGTGTATATCTTCAGAGTAAACTTTAATTACGCTCACCTATTTTATATGGTGTCAAAATCATTATAGAAAAAATCTATCGATTTTGTTTTAAGCAAGTGTTAGTCTTGGCTATGCAATTCAGCATAGTGCTTCCATCTTTTCAACTTTCATCCAGTATTCAGAAGTGATACCTGATACAGTCTCAAAAAAGGAAGAAGGCTTAAATAACTTTATTTATTTAATTATTTAGAGACAGAGTCTCACTCTGTTGCCCTGGCTAGAGTGCCGTATCATCAGCCGAGCTCACAGCAACCTCAAACTCCTGGGCTCAAGGGATCCTCCTTCCTCAGCCTCCTAAGTAGCTAGGACTACAGGCATGTGCCACCATGCCTGGCTAATTTGTTCTCTATATATTTTTTTAGTTGTCCATCTAATTTCTTTCTATTTTTTTAGTAGAGACAGGGTCTCGCTCTTGCTCAGGCTGGTCTTGAACTCCTGAGCCCTAACAGTCCACCCACCTCAGCCTCCCAGAGTGCTAGGATTACAGGCGTGAGCCACCGTGCCCAGCCTAAAATAACTATTATTATTATTTTGACCAGCAGTCTCGTTTTGGTTGCCAGGCTAGAGCGAGTGCCGTGGCGTCAGCCGTGAGCTCACAGCACTAATCTGGGATTCAGCAATCCTTGTGCTCAGCCTCAGAGTGGCTGGATACAGGATGCGCTCCCTGAACCGCGGCTCAATTTTTGTGTATCATTAGTTTGCCATTGTTCTATTGATAGTAAGGAGGGGTCTTCGCTGTTGCTAGGCTGTTCGGAATCGCTGACTCGACATCGCCGCCTCGGCTCCAGGAGATTGTGGATTACAGCGTGAGGCACCGCGCCGGGCTAATAACTTTAAAATGCAGACAGGACATTTCCAACCTTTTGTACATGCACACACCCACACCAAGGCGACAGGCAGAATTGACACCCATGGTGGGGGCTTTTATGGTTTTAACTATCTGTGTGGAGTATCATTATAGACGTATTGAGTTTATAGTGCTCTTAAACTACTTTAACACCATAGTATGGGCCAGGCGCGGTTGTCTCATGGCCTGGTATCCTTAGCACGTCTGGGCGAGGGGCCGGCAGGGGATTGCTCGTCGAGTCAACAGTGGTGGCCGAGGCGCCCTCTTTACTATAATGAAGTTATTGGCAATGGTTATATAGACATGTGGCAGGCATTGGTGGGACATGCCTGTGAGTTCCAGTATCTTGGGAGTTCTTGGGCAGCAGGATTGCGTTGGAGCGCTTTGGTTGCTGTGATCTAGGCTTGATGCAGGCACTCAGCTTCAGCCTGGGCAGCCGAGACTGTGTCTCAAAAAAAAACGAAAAACCTATATGAATTTAGATTCATTAAAATGATTAGTCTGGCCGGGCGCGGTGCTCCGCTGTATACTCTCTGCGGCGCGGATTGGTCAGGTCGAGTTCACCAGGCCGCGAGCGGGCGCGACCCCCGTCTCTATATAAATAGAAGAACTAATCTTGGCAGCTTGTATAATTAGAAAATTAGGTCGGCATCGGTTGGTCTGCTGTAGTCAGCACATGGCTGGTTGATGGTGCTGTGAGCTAGGCTGACGCCACGGCACTCACTCTAGCCTAGGCAACAAAGCGAGACTCTGTCTCAAAAAAAAAAAAATAAATAAAAAATAAAAAAAAATGATTACCTCAATTAGAATTTAAAATTCATAAATATGGAACACATAATTGTCTAATTCCAGTGTATGAGCAGTTCCTGTAGAAGTATTGGCATGGTGCTTTTATGTACTAGTATCAGTGTTCTCCTATGATAGTAGGCATGTTATATCTGTAATCAGACTTGATATTTTTCACTTTAACACATTTTGACTTTTTCATATAGGGTTTCTCTGCTGGGCTGTTTGCATTCTACCGTGATAAAGATGGAAGTCCTCTAACATCAAGATTTGCAGATGGTCTCCCACCTTTTAATTATAGGTAGTTATTATTTTTGTTCTTCTCATTTAGTAGGGTGCTAAGACTAGAATCTGAGAAACACAGCATGTTAGGTGCCATAAATAATAGCGTCTTTATGGCTAATCTAAGGAAATTGTAGATCTTAAAACAAGACAGAAGAGGTCATTTAGCTTCATCTCTTCATTTTATCAATGAAGCAATTGAGATGCAGACTACGAGTTAGGCAAGCCCATCTTGCCAGGGAGGGCTTCTCTCTACCACACTGTAACTTGTATTTGCAGTATTAGGCTGTGGGAATATGTAGGTTGGTTATTCATTATTGCCTATACATAGCAATATTTACATGTTAGCTGATATTTTTTTCTTTCTTTCTTTTTTTTTTTTTTTTTTCAAAATCAAGCAATGCTCAGACATGCATAGCCCCAGGAGGAACCCAGGGTCACAAGTGTCTTCAAAGTGTTGATGATCAATGTGTCCTGTAATTAGCTGATATTTTATTTAGCACAGCGGATAGCAGTGATCTAGGTTCAGAGCCTAAAATAAGCAATACTAAGAAATACTAAAAAAATTTACCAAGGGTTTTGTAGAGAATATCAGTCATAGAACTATAATTATTTGCATGCATTTATATGAAAATAAATCTCTAAATTAAGAGTATAGTTTCATTAGAATAAGAATATGCAAGGCACAGTTTTGTTATTGGCCAAAAAATATAAGCCACTCAAAGGTCTGTCAATAGAATGGATAAATAAATTGTGAGATATATACTTGAAAACTACATAGCACTAAAAATAACACGTTATTTATTGCTATATTTAGTAGCATGGATGAATTTCACATGCCATGTTGATCAAAAGAAGTCAGATAGTCCATTTGTATGGAGTTCAAAAACTAGCAACAATAAAAGGTGAGTGGTTTTACTTTAGATGGCAGGCTGTTAAATGCCATATAGGTTGAATATAGATTGGTGAGGGGCACAAGGAAACCTGCCAGATGTGCTGACATTGTACCATATCTTTATCAGTGCAGTGCTATATGGGTGCAGGATTAAAAAAAATTAATCCTTATACTTATGATGTGTTTATATTACATATATTTTACTTCAGTTACAAAATCTTTATTAAAATAGTATATATTAAATAAACATAATGTATTTTTAGAGTATATGTAAAGATGTTCTCTTTCCTAGGTTGTGTTTGTTTGTTTATTTGGTAAAAATCTGATCTTTCCTAAGAATTGAGGTCTTTTGGAAAACATATAAATAGTGAGATAGGTATCATCTATATAATAATAAAAGTAAGGAGAAAACAGAGACCCCTACACACAAACTATTGTTAAGCTTACAATTTACAATGCTTTCTTGCATTGAGGATATTCCTCAAAAGTATGAAATCTTTCAGGATAAATGAAAATAATGGAGTAATAAATTCAGTTATTAGAGATGCAAAGAATTGGATTTGCCTCTAACCTCTCTATTTGAAGAACTGTTAATCTCAAAGTATGAATGGTAAAGAGAGTATTGCAGTGATTAAGAAGGTAAAAACTTTAATTTCTGGCTGACTTGATTTACTATTATGTTTAAACATTGCTTTGCCATGGGAAAAAATAAAAGGAATTAAAAATAATATCTCTAAGGCAAAGGGAAATGAACAGATAATATGATAAATATAACAAAATGTTAATTGTAGAATCTAGGTTATAAGTATTGAGTATAAGAGTGTTCACTATACAATTCTTTCAATGTTTTGTGTGTTTGAAATTTTTATAAAATAATGTTGGGAAAACCCTCTTTATATTCTGTTCTATCAATGAGCATGAGAGGCCGGGCGCGGTGGCTCACGCTTGTAATCCTAGCACTCTGGGAGGCCGAGGTGGGCGGATTGCTCAAGGTCAGGAGTTCAAAACCAGCCTGAGCGAGACCCCGTCTCTTACTGTAAAACTAGAAAGAAATTAATTGGCCAACTAACATATATATATATAAAATTAGCCGGGCATGGTGGCGCATGCCTGTAGTCCCAGCTACTCAGGAGGCTGAGGCAGGAGGATTGCTTGAGCCCAGGATTTTGAGGTTGCTGTGAGCTAGGCTGACGCCATGGCACTCAGTCTAGCCTGACAGAGGAAGACTCTGTCTCAAAAAAAAAAAAAAAAAAAAAAAAATGAGCATGAGAGATTTTTTTAAGGACAGTTGGAGAGAGAATCTAGGAAAAAAGCCAGAAAAAAGTTATTTAGGTTGTAGGGAAAAATGAAGATATCCACCATAATTTTCTATAATAAATATATTGCTTTTATAATAGTGATTTTATTTATGCAGGATAGATTTCCCCAAATAGGATTTTGATTTAAAATCTATGTATACTATACATTTTAATAAAAACTGCTGTTACATTTTTTATGAAGGTGTGACAGAGCACATTCCCACCAGAAATGTATGAATGCTTTTGTTACCACCTTACCAGTGCTGGATATTGTCAGTCTTTTTTTAGGCCAATTGGATGGATAAAAGATGGTATCTCATTGTTGTGTTTCCAGGATAGCTAGTGACGTTTTAGTCATTTGCATTTTCTCTTTGTACGCTGCTTTTTTCTTTGTCTAATCTTTTAGGTTAGTTTTCCTTTTCTAATCACTTTGTATAGATTTTTCAAAAATAAAAAATTAGGGATATTAATTCTTTTTCATGTTTGTTGTAAATATTTCTGATTAGTTCATCTTTTTACTTCATTTATCATATTTTTGCCATATACAAAAGTTTTTAAATTTTATGCCATTTAATTCATCTTTTTTCTTTATTGTTTAAGACAGTTTCTGCCCTCCAAAGATTATATTCTCCTAAATTTCTTCTAGTAAATTATAATTTGACTTTTTTACATTCATTGCTTTAATCCATTTGGAATTTATTTTTGATTCCTATATTTTAGGACTCTCTTGTAAGGTACATATATATTTATAATTTTTATATTTTTATGGCAGATGGACCAAGGCTTTTATTATAAAATGTCCTTCTAGTAACAATTTTTATTTTAAAGTCTATTTTGTCTGATATTAATATAGCCATTCCAGCTCTTTCTGGAGTTCTGTTTAATAGTATATATTTTTTTAATCCTTTTATTTTCTGCCTATTTTAATCTCAACTGTGTCTTTTTTAGATGTGTGGTTGGGTCATGGTTTTTTTAATTAACTTTTCCCATCAACCCTCTTCTGCCCCCTCTAACGGCTATCAGGTTGCTGGTTTTCACCCTGATTATGGCTTTTTTTTTTTTTTTTTTTTTAGAATAACAAAAAGTATTTTACTAAAACATAAGATTTACAGAAGTTTCCAGACAAGCCATACACAACAGTCACAAGCTTTTTTTTTTTTTTGAAGGGGGAAATCTACACTCAACAGCAAAGTCACAGTGTGTTATTAGTGAGGACTGTGATGTTTAATGTTCCCATTTTGGTTCAAACAATCAAGCTTGTCCATCCATAGTGTCTAAATAAAGTTAGACTTGGCTAGAGAGCATATTCTAAAGAACTGGTTAGCTGCTTTTAACCAATGCATTTAGATCACCATTAAAATGGGGAAAGGAGGCCGGGCGCGGTGGCTCACGCCTGTAATCCTAGCACTCTGGGAGGCCGAGGTGGGCGGATTGCTCAAGGTCAGGAGTTCGAAACCAGCCTGAGCAAGACCGAGACCCCGTCTCTACTATAAATAGAAAGAAATTAATTGGCCAACTAATATAAATATATAAAATTAGCCGGGCATGGTGGTGCATGCCTGTAGTCCCAGCTACTCGGGATGCTGAGGCAGAAGGATTACTTGAGCCCAGGAGTTTGAGGTTGCTGTGAGCTAGGCTGACGCCACGGCACTCACTATAGCCTGGGCAACAAGCGAGACTCTGTCTCAAAAAACAAAAACAAAACAAAAAAAAAAAGGGGGAAAGGAGCTCATAAAATTAAAACTACCTCCCCTCTCAAAAAAAAAAATAAAATAAAGAAAAACACCCACACCCCTGCAGCTAACCCTGACAACTACCTTCGTTCACAGTGCTTCATACTTAAACCATGATGGGGGAAATGAATAAAAGCAGAGAGGTGCCCCTGCTTTTAAACGTTTTGTAACAATCCACATGATACTTCTAGCCTCTGCTCATGCTTTACAACAGTGAATCAGGAAAAGACATAGATTTGCTAATGTGCATTTAATCACCAAAGGACTGAATATGTCTGGGCTTTTATTCTGTAATGTTTCTAAGACTGTGTCTATTAAATGAAAACAAAAAAGGAAGAAGTCTTGGCAGAACGGGAGAAGTGATACACACTTGATGATCGGATTGATTTAAATATTATTCATGGCATATAGCCTAGTCCATGCTCTAGCTGTTTATATGGCTTGGGCTTCATTAGTCTTCCACTGCTCCACCACATCATTTGCTAACGGATCATCTGGATTGGGAGCACTTAACAAAGCCTGGATTGATAGCAGAACTGTGCGGATCTGCAGTGCTGGGGACCATTTATCTTTCAAAATATCTAAACATATTCTTCCCAGCTTGTCTACATTAGGATGATAAATTTTGGTCATGAAACGTACTTTAGGAGCTGCCACTGGGTATTCTTCAGGGAAGGAATAGTTCAAATTTAAAAGTCCCTCCCTCAAAGGGGGGAATCCTGGGGGCCAGCAATGACTACATGAAAATAACGGGCGTTGCTCTCATCTGGTTCTACTTTAATGCCAGGAACAGTTCCGTCAGCAAAGGCTGGGTTTCCTTGATGATCCTTCCGGGCAGCCCGGCCATCTTGTCAGATCCCAAGTTTGGCCTCTGGTCTTGTCTCCAGCTCCACTCACCTCACGCAGGAGTGAAAGTCCTGGACTCCACTTTGATTGTGGCTTCTTAACTTCTAAGGCTGCCACAAAGCTGGAGAGAGGGCATGGAAAAACACCACAAATCTTCCTGTGTTTACTGATTCATCTATTTTTAGTGAACAAATGCTTCCTGGATTGCTGTAAACCTTTGGTTAATTTTGAGAGTTTTGAAAAGTTGATTTGTACAATTTGGCTAGTTTTCTCATTGCTTTAATGGAGGAGAGAATTTTCAAAAATTTTTACTCTGCCATTTTCACTAACTTCTTTCTGGAATCTATTTTTGTATATTGCTTGAAATAGGGATTTAATTTTTCCCCCAGACATATAACTAGTTTCATAGCATAGGATAATTTTAATAATTATCTACTTTTCTATTAAATTAATGCAGCATTTTTTTGGTTAGATTTCCTTTTATGTTTGAATATGTCTCTGGACTTGCTTTTGTTTTTTTATATAATAAATGTATCAAAAAGAAGTAATTCATTGTCATCTTAGCCAAGTATCAGCTATGTGAACTTGAACAAGTTACTGCATCTCCTTAAACCTCTGTCTCTTTATCTACAAAATAGATAATGATGATAATCTCATAGGATTATTGAAAAGATTAAATTAAAAAATGCTTGTCAGGTCTTTGTATGGACTTGGTACATAGTAAGCTCTCAAATATTTTAATTTCATAATTATATTCATAAACATTTACACGTGGCTCTGTGATACAATGGATAGCACATTAGACGTCTAGACCGATGAAGGCATAAACACATTTACATTTAAAGTGATGGTGAATTGGCAAAAATTACTGTCTTTTTATTCTGTAATTGCAGTCTTGGATTATATCAGTGGAGTGATAAAGTAGTCCGAAAAGTGGAAAGATTATGGGACATTCGAGATAATAAGATAGTTCGTCACACGGTGTATCTCCTAGTAACACCTCGTGTTGTTGTAAGTATTACTGAACTTCTTCATGTCTCATGAGCCATGTGTTCTTTTCCTTCGTTATGGTCCTTTCTTTACTAATCATTATTGTGTAAGAATTTATGATTAAATTTCAGAGACTATAGTAGGAATAGTAATATAAAGGGCAGTACAAGCCAAGAGAAGTCGGAGGAAATGGAAATTTGGCAGTGACTCTTGTGGCCTCTATCCTACCCAATGCTTTAGGCCAGTGCCGCCTCTTTTGTGGTATCTCTTAGGATCACTGGTATTGTTTCCATAATTGCTGATCATTTCATTTGGAGTCTGTATTAGTCAATTCTCCAGAGAGACAGAACCAATAGGATGTGCACATATACACATACACACAGTATATATACACAATATATCCACAGAGAGAGAGAGAAAGAGGGAGATATTTCTTTTTAAGGAATTGGCTGACATGACTGGAAGCTTGGCAAGTCCAAATCTGATGGGATAGGCCAGCAGGCTGCAGACTGAGAGAAGAGTTTTCAGTTCAAGTCCAAAGGTGCAGAATTACTACTTTTTCAGGGGAGGTTAGTCTTTGTTTTGTTTAAGCCCTCAACTGATTATGTGAGACCTACCCACGTTATGGAGCGTGATCTGTTTAACTCAGAGTTCACTGATTATAAATGTTAATTTCATTAACATTTTGTTAATTTCATTTAAAAAAAGAAAAAAAGCTCTCACAGAAACGTCCAGAATATCTGGGCCAAATATCTGGAAATCCTGGCCCAGTCAAGTTGACACATAAAATTAACTCTCACAGGGTCCCTTTTACTCCCTTATTGAATGATAGAAAGCTCTTCTTCCTTACCCCTTCCTCAACAACATATAGCTCTCTGCCTTCTCATCTTTTCTACTGTTCTTGCTCTGTTTCCCATCCTTGAAGATCTCTAACTAAAGGACAGACAAAACCCAATGAGCAAAAGTTGTATTCTACTGAAGAAATGTTTTTTCCTACAAAGACTACACCCATAATAACAGCAATTTATATCTGCATCAGAATTGTTGAGAGAGCAATTTTGGCTGCTTAATTGCAAGCATCCTCATCATTTCATCCAACTGGTTGTAGTAGACATCCACTGTAATCAGTTGACCAGGTTTCATGAAGCCATAGTGGATAATATCAGTGCCGGACCACCAAACAGATGCCATTAGTTTTTTTTTAATGAATATTCAGTTTTGCACTGTTTCAGCATGTCATCTTTATCCAGCCGCTGTGCTGAATGCTTGCAATTGTCAAAAAGAATCCATTTTTTCATCACACGTAACAATACAATGTAGAAATGGTTCTCTTTTATGCCGTGACAGTAAAGAAAGGCAAGCCTTGAGACAATTTCTCTTCTGATGCTTGGTTAATTCATGAGGTACCTATCTATCCAGCTTCTTTACATTGCCAATTTGTTTCAAGTTGTCCAATATTGTTGGAATAGTAACATCAAACCTTGCTGATAATTCATGCATATGTTGAGATGGATTTGCTTTCACTATAGCTTTAAGCTCATCATTATTGACCTTGGTCTCAGGTCACCCACATAGCTCATTTTCAAAATTAAAATTACTAGACTGGAACTTTTCAAACCATTGACGTACTGTATGTTCATTAGTCACAGCTGTCCCAAACACTTTGCTGATATTTTGGTTCCATGATAGAACTCATATTGAAAAATAACACAAATTTTTTACTTATCCATGGTTTTACAAAATTTGCTCTAAAAACAAAATGAAAGATAATCACAAACCAAACTACATTCGAAAGAATGAGGATGTACCTTTACAATAAACAAACAAACAAGAAGTATCAAGGTGAAATGTCAGAGAGATCAATTGTCATATTAATACCTAAGGAAATCGGTCACTTTATACTTAATAACCTAGTAAAATGTATTAGAGGATCTGAAAGGAGAGATAGATTGTAATAGTAATAGTAGGGGACTTTAGTACTCTACTTTCAACAATGAACGGATCATTCTGATAGAAAATTAATAAGGAAACATTGGTCTTGAACAACACTTTAGACCAAATTTACCTAACGGACATATACAGAATGTTCTGTCCAACAGCAACAGAATACACAGTCTTCTCAAGTGCACCTGGAACGTTCTCCAGGATAGACCACATGTTAGCACACAAAACGGACCTTAGTGAATTTAAGAAGATTGAAATCATATCAAGCATCATTTCTAACTACAAGGGTATGGTATGAAACTAGAAGTCAATAACAGGAATTTTGGAAAATTTACAAATAATGTGAAAATTAAACAGCATCCTGCTAACCAACCAGTGAGCCAATGAAGAAATTAAAAGGGAAATTATAAAACATCTTGAGACAAATGAAAATGGAACCACAAGATACCAAAACTTATAGGATACAGCAAAAATAGTTCTAAGAGGAAAGTTTGTAGCAGTAAATGCCTACATCATACAAGAAGAAAGATCTCAAATAAACAGCTTAGCTTTACTCCTCAAGTAACTGGAAAAAGAACAAAGTAAGCCTAAAGTTACCAGAAGAAAGGAAATAATAAAGAACAAAAAGAAATGAAATAGAGACTAGAAAAACAATATAAAGTATCAACAAACCTAAGAGTTGGTTTTTTGAAAAGTTAAAATTGACAAACCTTTAGCTAGACTAAGAAAAAAAGAGAGAGGACTAAATATATAAAATCAGAAATAAAAGAGGAAAAATTACAACTAATACCAAAGAAATACAAAGGATTATAGAAGACTACTGTAAACAGTAATGTGCCAACAAATTGGATAACTTAGAAGAAATGAATAAATTCCCAGACAGAACTCATATTCAAATCATGAACAAAAAGAACAAAGCTTGAGGCATCACACTGCCTGAATTTAAACTATATTACAAAGCTATAGGATAGTAAAACAGCATGATACTGACATAAAAATAGGTATGTTAACCAACGGAACAGAAAAGAGAGCCCAGAAATGAACCCACAGTTTACAGTCCATTGACTTTTGACAAAAATGCCAATACACAGTGGGAAAAGGATAATCTCTTAAGTCGTGTTGGGAAAACTAGATATCTATATACAAAAGAATGAATTAGACTCTTATCTCATACTATATACAAAAATCAACTCAAAATATATTAAAGACTTAAATATAAGACCAGAAACTGTAAAACTATTAGAAGAAAACATGGGTGGAAAACAATATGACATTGTTCTGGGTAGTTTTTTTAGATTTGACTCCAAAATCACAAGCAACAAAAATAGACAAATGGGATTACTAAATCAAACTAAAAGCTTTTAAACAGCAAAGAAAATTAATAGTGTTGACATAACCTACAGGTTGGGAGAAAATATTTATAAGCCATACATCTTATAAGAGGTTAATATCTAAAATATATAAGGAACTCAATATCAAGAAAACAAAAAACCCAATTAAAACAAATGAACAAAGGACTTGAATAGACATTTCTCAAATGAAGACACATGGATGACCAACAGATACATGAAAAAATGCTCAACATTGCTAAACATTAGGGAAATGCAAATTAAAATCACAATGAGATAGATATCATCTCATGCCTGTCAGAATGTCTGTTACCACAAAGATAAAAGATAACAAGTGTTGGAAAGGATGTGGAAAAGTGAGAACCCTTGTACACTATTAGTGGGAATGTAAATTAGTACAGCAACTATGGAAAACTGGAGTTACTTCACAAAACTAAATATAGAATTACCATATGATCCTGCATTCCCATTTCTGGGTATTTACTCAAAAGATTTGAAACCAGTTTGATGAAGAAATGTCTACACTCCTATGCTCATTGTAGCACTGTTCACAATAACCAAGGTATGGTATCAACCTAAGTGTCCATCTACAGATGAATGGATGAAGAAAATGTGGTATACACAGTTGACCCTTAACACAAGTTTGGACTCTGATGGCCCATTTATATGCAGATTTTCTTCCACCTCTGCAACCACTGAGACAGCCAGATCAACCCCCCCTTCCTCTACCTCCTCAGCCTACTCAACCTGAAGACCTTGAAGATGAAGACCTTTAACAATAATTCACTTTGACTTATAGTAAATGTATTCTCTCTTCCTTATGATTTTTTTCCAATTTTACCTTTTTTTAAATTTCAAAATATTAAGGGGGTACAAATGTTTTTTGTTACATGGATCACTTTTGTAATGCTTAAGTCCCTGCTAAAGGTGTGCCCATCTTTATGATTTTCTTAATAACACTTTCTTTCTGTAGCTTTGTCAGAATTCAATGTATAGTACATTTAACATACAAAATATGTATTAATTGTTTATGATATCAGTAAGTCTTATGGTTAATGGTAGGGTATTGGTAGTCAAGTTTTGGGGGAGTCAAAAGTTATATGATTTTTGACAGAATTGGGGATTGACATTCCTAACACCCACCTTGTTCAAGGATTAACTGTATATACAATGGAATAGTATTCAGCCCTAAAAAAGTAGGAAATTCTGTCATTTGTGACAACATGGATGAAATTGGAGAATGTTATGCTAAGTGAAATAAGCCAGGCACAGAAAGACAAATACCCCATGTTCTCACTTATATGTGGCATCTAAATCAATTGAACTCAGAAGCAGAGAGTAGAATAGTGGTTACAGAGGTTTTGGGGGATGGGGAGAACAGGGAGATGATAGTCAAAGCATACAAAATCTCAGGAGGAATAAGTATCTTTCAGGATCTATTGCCCAGCATGGGAATATATTATAGTTACTAATAGTGCGTTGTACATTTCAAATTTACTAATAGTAAATTTTAAATGTTCTCACCACAAAAAATAAGTATTTGAGGTGATGGATATGTTTTAATTATTCCACATTATATTCATAAATCATAACATCATGCCTCCTAAATATATACAGTTATAAATTATCAGTTTACATGCTGGGCACAGTGGCTCATGCCTATAATCCCAGTACTTTGGGAGGCCGAGGTAGGAATATCACTTGAGGCCAGGAGTTCAAGACCAACCTGGGCAACATAGTGAGACCCTGTCTCTATAAAAAAAAATTTAAAAACACAAAAATTATCTGGGCATGGTGGTGCACACCTGTAGTCCCAGGTACTCAGGAGGATCGCTTGAGTCTGGTAGTTGGAGGTTGCAGTGAGCTATAATTATGCCACTGCACTCTAGTCTGGGTGGCAAAGGGAGACCCTGTCTCAAAAAAAAATTATCAATTTACAATCAAATAAAATTTTAAATAATTGTTGAGACAAGAGTTATAAGTAGCAATCAAATTAGTCTATAACTTTTTAAAAATATATGTGACTTAAAGTCAAACTCTTCAAAGAAAAGAAAAAATATTAAGAGAAATAGTATTTTCCTGGCAAAGAACAGCATCAAAATGTTTCATTTAATTATATTAAAAACTCTATTTTTTTTTTCTATTTTTTTTTTTATTTGAAACAGTCTCACTCTGTTGCCCAGGCTAGAGTGCCGTAGTGTCAGCTTAGCTCACAGCAACCTCAAACTCCTGGGCTCAAGTGAGCCTCCTGCCTCAGCCTACCAAGTAGCTGGGACTACAGGAATGCGCCACCATGCCCGGCTAATTTTTTCTGTATATTTTTAGTTGTCCAGCTAATTTCTTTCTATTTTTAGTAGAGATGGGGTCTTGCTCTTGTTCAGGCTGGTCTCGAACTCCCAACTTCAAGCGATTCTCCTGCCTCGGCCTCCCAGAGTGCTAGGATTACAGGTGTGAGCCACCACGCCTGGCCTAAACACTGTATTTTTAAAAGAAGTTCTTTCCGGCCAGGCGTGGTGGCTCACGCCTGTAATCCTAGCTCTCTGGGAGGCCGAGGCGGGAGGATTGCTCGAGGTCAGGAGTTCAAAACCAGCCTGAGCAAGAGCGAGACCCCGTCTCTACTATAAATAGAAAGAAATTAATTGGCCAACTGATATATATATATATAAAATTAGCCGGGCATGGTGGCGCATGCCTGTAGTCCCAGCTACTCGGGAGGCTGAGGCAGAAGGATCGCTCAAGCCCAGGAGTTTGAGGTTGCTGTGAGCTAGCCTGACGCCACGGCACTCACAAAGCGAGACTCTGTCTTAAAAAAAAATAAAAAAAAAAAAAAAAAAAAAAAAAGAAGTTCTTTCCTCACCAAAGAAATTTTTCAGTCAACTTAATTATATCCATGTGATAAAGAGTTTTTCATTATCTTATGGTACTTTTGTGGGATTTATATTTTTTTCTGATTCTTAGGATGAAGCACGAAAACATTTTAACTGTCCAGTTCTGGAGGGAATGGAACTTGAAAATCAAGGTGGTATGGGCACTGAGCTCAACCATTGGGAAAAACGATTATTAGAGGTCAGTTCATTTTTAAATTTTACTAGATTCTTTTTACTTAATAAAAGTAATTCATACTCATTATAAAAAGTTAAACTCGTTATAAAGTAAAAAATTAAAAGTTCCCTTTCCCCTTCAGCTCTCCAGATCTGCTTTACAGATGTAATCACTCTTTTGGTATATCCTTTCATAAATATTATATACATATAATATATATATACACACATGCGTGGAATTTTTTTTTATGAGTTTGTACATTCATGCAGCTTTTTTCACTTAATGATATAACTTAGATATCTATGCAAGGCAGTACAAGTGCTTCTGCTATAAGGCAGTGTATGCTTTCCTAAAAATCCTCTTCAAAATTAGACACTAAAAATAACAAGACTTGTGGGAAAAACAAGTAATGAGAGCACTAACAAAAGCAGTAACTTCTAATAAAACTACTAGCTCAGTTTTATAAGACATCAAATTTCAATAAATAAAATCCTATATTCTATTTCTTTATCTTTAACAAAACAGCAATAATGACAAAAATAAGTAGTGGTAACTGGATAGGGAAGTTTAAATCCAAGTAATGGAGACAAGGGTAAAATGTATAAAGATTCAAGAGAATTATGCAATAAACACTTCCAGGCAGAACCTGTGGCTTTATTGAGCCAAGAGAAAGAAGATGGAGTGAACAGGCATAATACATAGAACAGCGGTCCTCTGTTGCTATGTTCAGCTATCTTGGTGTACTTTGTATTTAACTGCTGTTGCCTCATCACAGAATGTTAACATTCAGGGAAAAAATCATTGTGAACCAACATGATTCCATGTTGTATTGATGTCATTCCTTTATTTACCAATCTATGTGAGCTCATTCACATATGCAGATATACATGCTTTCGAAGAATAGGCTATATACTTAGATCTACTTATTTTTTAATAGCAACATAGTATTGTATTAAATGAATATAACATAACAGTCCTTTGTTAATGAATAACTATGTTTCAAATGTTTAAAAAAATATAATGAACAACTCATATCTGTGATACATTACCTTCTAGGAGTAGTGTTTCAGTTGGTCTTCTTAGAGTTAATCAACTAAATAAACTTAGAAGACCTAAACAAGCAGTATTGAAAGAGGATTTCCTTAGAGGCATATTAGAAAGAATACACAGCATTCTGGCACAGCAGAGTCAGATATTTCTCTTGTGCTCCACAGAGGAATGGAGCATCTTTGCCTCTTTCCCTTCTTCTGCAGCTCCAGGACAGGAAGACAAGACCACAGCAGATGGATGGGAGAACCAGCCTGGCTTAGAAGTAAAATGTCACAAATAGGAACTAATAGCTTTTTTAACAGTTCCATGGATATAACTTCCAGAACCTTATAAGGGCCATACCCACAAGAGTCACTGCACAAGGGAAGTCCCAAACTGTATGAATATCTTTTACAGTAATCTTAAGTCCAGAGGCATATCAGGAGGTCTTTTTTCTTTATGTGTTATTGCCTGGTAATACAGATGACATTCCACCTTTATTAGGTTTCTAGGGGAACAGATCTAGAAAGTTAACCCAAGGTCAAATTTGTTTATATAGAAAGAGAAAGAATAAATCCTTAGAAGTGTAATTACTGGGTCAAAGTGTATATATATTTTTAGTTTTAGAGATCTGCTTAGATAATTAGATGCAGCTTACATACATCATGTAACTAAAGTTAGTAAACCAAACTTAGTAAAATTATGAAAAGAATGAAATTAATGTTTGTTTACTGTTCTTATCAAGGCAACTAACCACAAAGTACAGTGATGGAAACTTATGGAAGACATATATACTTATTCTTCCCATGGGAATTTTGGTTTCTTTATTTTCCTCAAGAAATTTTCTCAAGTGATTCTCTTTAGAAAATTGTAGATTGCCAGAAGTGAAAATTTATTTACTTTTCAGTAGAAGATTTGAAAATAGTACTTTCATTAACTTCTTCCTTTCTCTTAAATCAACTGTGTCTTGAACTATTTTTTATTTTATTTTATTATTTATTTATTTATTTATTTTTGGAGATGATGTTCTCACTGTGTTTCACAGGCTGGCCTCAAACTCCTGGGCTCAAGTGGTCCTCTCACCTTAGCCTCCCGAGTACCTGGGACTATAAGCACATGCCCCTGCACCTGGCATGAACTATTTTTTAAAAAAAGGATGGTATCAAAGTACCTGAGATGACCATCCACTGTTCAATCTCAGATTCGATGAATAATCAGAACTGTCCAAAGATGAAATATGTGGGGCGAGAGTATTTGAGGCAGGCCCCCAAGGAGATTAGCTACTTCTTCCCACAGAGCCAAGTCCCTAAGATAGGGGTCACCACAGAGGATAAGGAACTTGATAGGCAACAGAGAGAAATAAAAGAATACACAGAGGCCGGGCGCAGTGGCTCATGCCTGTAATCCTAGCTCTCTGGGTGGCCGAGGCGGGCAGATTGTTTGAGCCCAGGAGTTTGAAACCAACCTGAACAAGAGTGAGACCCCATCTCTGCTATAAATAGAAAGAAATTAATTGGCCAAATAATATATATAGAAAAAATTAGCTGGGCATGGTGGTGCATGCCTGTACTCCCAGCTACTCGGGAGGCTGAGACAGGAGAATTGCTTGAACCCAGGAGTTTGAGGTTGCTATGAGCTAGGCTGATGCCACAGCACTCACTCTAGCCCGGGCAACAAAGTAAGACTCTGTCTCAAAAAAAAAAAAAAAAAAGACACGGAGACTAAGGTATAGTTTATAGTTTTATATATATAAAAAGATCAGATATAACACAGCAGGGAGTACCCAGGAGACTGATGTATCTCCATAAACGCCAGCCATATGGTTAGATTCATACAGGTTTTTATAATCACAGATATCAATTACCAATTGTCAGAGTAACATATTTGCATATCAGGGAATGCAGTTGCTAGGGGATACAGGTACTGGGTCAAAAGTCCTCTCAAGGGGCTTCTATCTAGTTGAACAAACAGGTACAAAGTATTTCAGGGGCTATCTTCTAGGTTCTAAGAGGTAGTTGTCAATTAACAGAGGTAAAACAAAAGAGGTATAGTGACTCAATATTTCTTTGATTAGTTATGGTGGACTTAAAGGTAGACAGACAGGAGAGAGCAGAAAGCCCATATCTATAAAACAGGTTGCATATAACCACCAGGGCGTATCTCTGGGCAAAGTGTACTCATTGTCTCTGGCTCCTATCCTGTGGACCATATTTGCCTTGTCTTGTCTTTCAAGACACAGGGAAGCTCACAGATTTTGAGATACCGGGAAGCCTTCCTGGAAAACATCCCTACCGGAGATTTGAGAGCTTTCCCATGATAGCAGCCTCTAATAAGTGAACCATTGAGTCCATACATTCCTTCAGGGCAAAACCCTGCAAACTCCTGGTTCTGTCTTTAATATAGTAATATTGGGTTATATGATAAAATAATGATCTTATGAGCCACATTTCATTAATTCCTCAATCATATTTTCCCAACAGAAATATACTCTATTATGAGGCACTAAAGTCTTTACCATTAGGTGGCCTCCTGGTAGGACTTTTATGGTATGAATTAAAATATTGGGTAGATAGTACACCTTGATGATATTTTAGGTCCCTCATGTAAATCCTTTGATCCCATGATTCTGTCATACTTATTTTGCATATTAATGTATATTTCGGTGATCATAAAGTTGAGGGTTATGAAAGGATTTTCTGTATAATTCAGGCAAGTATTTTCGCCCACACCTCATATTATCTGGGTATCTATCTCAACCACCCACTTGACTTTGCCTGGAAAGTGTAATATTTTTACAGTATTTGTGTTTCCATATATATTTATCTTCATTTTCATCACAGTTCTCAATGTCAGTTGCCTACCATTCCAGGGAAGTCATCCACAATGGAGATATTTGAAGCAGAAAATAGATTTCATTTTAAGTTTCAGTCTAGTCATTTTAAAGAAGGTTTATGTATTTCACCATTTTTAAGTAAATATTTTGTCAGCTCACACTTGAAACATTTTAAATATACATCACAGGAATCACAGAAATTGGAAGTTGCAAAGAGTCAAGTCTTCTAATTAAAATCTCTTGGTGGTTTTCAGAATGAAGCAATGACTGGTTCTCACACCCAGAACCGAGTCCTCTCTCGAATCACTCTGGCATTAATGGAGGACACTGGGTAAGACTGTAAGAATATTACATAAATTGTTTATTAAAATCAAATGAATGTGAAGATTATAGCTTAAAGAAAATGCTAACATTTTACACTGAAGCAAAATGTACTTATTCTTTTTTATTTATTTATTTTTTTTTGAGGCAGAGTGTTACTCTGTCGTCTTGGCCAAAGCGCCAGTGGCATCATCATAGTTCCCTGCAACCTCAAACTCCTGGGCTCAGTCTTCCTGCCTCAGCCTCATGAATAGGTAGCACTACAGGCGTGTGCCACCATGTCCAGCTAATTTTTTTCTACTTTTAATAGAGATGGGTCTTGCTTTTACTCAGGCTGGTCTCGAACTGTTGACCTGAAGAGATCCTCCTTCGTTGGCCTTCCAGAGTGCTAGGATTATAGGGGTGAGCCACCACATCTGGCTGAGGTGGACTGATTTCTTTGAATCTTGTAAACAGTTAGCTGTCCATTATATACACCAGCTCTATTCATTCATTCCATAAATGTGTGAGGCCCTGAGATATAGTAATGAATAGAACAAATCTCCTGATACTATGAAATTTATCTTCTAATAAGCAGATACTATGCTAATACGAAGGAAAGATTAAATGATTTATAAAATTGTAAATTAAATTGGTAACATAATTGGTGAATTAAATTGGTGACAAAATGGTGTTTTTAAAGCAGTAGAACTTTCTGGTAAAGCAGTAAAATACTGTTTTTAAATGAAATCTTTTACAGAACCCCTACATACCAAACATATAAAATCAGAGCTGCTTTAGTAGAAGCATTATTGCCTCTAGCTCTCTCTAGGATAGCCTGAGGGAAAATTTGAAAATAGAATCAAATTTAAAAATTAGTGATAGAGGTATTATTATTATTATTTTGAGACAGAGTCTCACTTTGTTGCCCGGGCTATAGTGAGTGCCGTGGCGTCAGCCTAGCTCACAGCAACCTCAAACTCCTGGGCTCAAGCAATCCTCCTGCCTTAGCCTCCCGAGTAGCTGGGACTACAGGCATGTGCCACCATGCCTGGCTAATTTTGTCTATATATATTATCTGGCCAATTAGTTTCTTTCTATTTATAGTATTGACGGGGTCTCACTCTTGCTCAGGTTGGTTTCGAACTCGTGACCTGTAGCAATCCTCCCGCATCAGCCTCCCAGAGTGCTAGGCTCACACCGTGCCCGGCCTACACGTGGTATTAAAACCATGGAAATTGTTGACCTAGCCTTAACTTTGGGCTGAGGGAGGGTGGCCAAAGAGGTATAAAGATTTAAAAGTACAGGGGTCACTGTTGACCCTGAGAACAGTTTCAATAAAAAATGAGAGAGACTGAGACATTCTTAAGCTGAGCTGCTTAAATGAGAGAGGAAGATATAGGTAAGAAAGGACATTATTAACATAGTTTTGTCCCTGAGAATATAAGATGAGTGAGATCCAGAGAGCCAAAAGAGAATTAGCTTGAATGGGAAGAAAGATACTATACTCTGTCCACTAATTCAGGAAGAAAGAATAAGAGTGAGAATGCAAGTCATTTTGTAGGTGGAGGCAGGAAATTAAAGAGGTTTAGAAATCATGCTAACCATGTCTCTGTCATTTGGGAGGCAGAGCCATGCCTGAGGGAGAGGGGATTCCAGGCACTCTGGAGCCACACAAGCCCGGCCTGAGGGTCACTTTCATACCTTTAGGATGTAGAAAGTAGTATTCTAAAAAGTCATTAATGTGCAATGCCTTGAGATTAAACACTGCTTTCTATAAGTGATAACAAAGTTTCAAAGTCCGGATGGAATTCACTTTCTTGGGGATATTATTTTAAATATTTTTTTTGAAATTTACCAATATTTACAAAATATATGTATAAAACAATGTGTATATACAATGAACCCCATTATACCCATAACCTGATTCAGCAGTAATCAAGATATTGTCGTGTTTGCAACATTCTTTCTTTCTTATGTTTCAAATCACAGATATCAAGTTATTTCACCCCTGTATACTATAGCATGAGTCTTTCAAAAGTATGGATATTTTTTAATGTAACCACAATACTAATAACCAATAATAATTTCCTAATATCTTCTACCCAGTTCATAATCATGTATCCCCTTTATCTCTCTTTTTACAACTGGTTTGTTTAAATCAGGATCCAAATAAGATCCTGATTAGTTGTTACATCTCTAAAGTCTTTTAATCTAGAGCAGTCCCTACAAAACATCCCCCACTTTTTTTTCATGCCATTGATTTACAGTAGAACCAGGTTAATTGTCCAATAGAATGTCCCAAATTCCAGATTTGCTTATGTATTCCTTTGTCCTGCAATTCCCAGTATTTCTTACAAATAGAAGTTTGTTCTAGATGCTTGATTAGATTCAGGTATAGCTTTTTTGTTTGTTTGCAAGATTACTTCATAGGTGATATTGAGTGCATATAATATTATATTCCCACTATTTGGATGCTGTGGTTAATTAATAGATTCAAATGATTACTCCCTAATACCTCCATTTTAAAATTCTCCACCAATCCTTTGTCTAATTTTTTCATCCATTAATGTTTGTTTCCCTAATCAATTAATGAAAGATGGATTACATAATGGTACTTTTCTAATTCTACTGTTCTTTCCATTTTCACTAACTGGAATTCTGTAAAGTATTTTCTCTCATTAAACCAGGGCTATTTACTAACCTTGAAATATAGTTTGTAACACTATTGATAAGTGGTTAATTCTTTCCTTCTAATTGCCAGTTTTTTTTTTTTTTTTTTTTGAGACAGAGTCTCACTTGTTGCCCAGGCTAGAGTGAGTGCCGTGGCGTCAGCCTAGCTCACAGCAACCTCAAACTCCTGGGCTCAAGCGATCCTTCTGCCTCAGCCTCCCGAGTAGCTGGGACTACAGGCATGCGCCACCATGCCCGGCTAATTTTTTTTTTTTCTCTATATATTAGTTGGCCAATTAATTTCTTTCTATTTATAGTAGAGACGAGGTCTCGCTCTTGCTCAGGCTGGTTTTGAACTCCTGACCTTGAGCAATCCGCCCGTCTCGGCCTCCCAGAGAGCTAGGATTACAGGCGTGAGCCACCGCGCCCAGCTAATTGCCAGTTTTTAAAATAGAGTTTGTTCCTTAGGTATTCTCAGTGATGTCCAATTATATATATATTTTTTATGAGACAGGCTCATTTTTTCTTTTTAAGTACTATGAAGTCATACCTTTTCATGTATCAGACAGTTGGATTCATTCTTTTTTTAATGCTCATATTGCCCTATCATTAGCCAAGAGGAATCTTTTTCTTGGTTGTCTCCTGAGTCCTTTTGACAAAACTCATTAGTTTTTGATAGCTTTCTTGCTTTCTGGTATGGCAGAATATAGCGGGCTGAATAGCATGCTGAGTCTTAGATCTGGGCATCAGCTAATCTTTCAAGGTGCATCTTTCAAGGTTCCTTTTAATGGAGAATAGTGCTTAGAAACCACAGTCTAGGCACTATGTTCAGTGTTACTGAGTTGTAATTACTTCTAATACTTTTCAGTGGACCAAGTTAGGATTCATATTTTTGAAAAGAAACAAAAACACACTGGATTCCTTTTATTACCATTATAACTCTTTCCCCCCAGCCAGGCATGGTGGCTTATGCTTGTAATCCAAGTGCTTTGGGAAGCTGAGGCAACAGGATTGCTTGAGGCCAGGAGTTCAAGACCAACCTGAGCAACATAGCAAGACTCTGTCTCTAAAAAAAAATTGAAAATTAGTTGTGCATGCCTGTAGTCCTAGCTACTTAGGAGGCTGAGGCAAAATGTTCACTTGAGCGCAGGAGTTGGAGGTTACAGTGAGCTCTGATCATGCCACTGCACTCCAGCCTGGGCAACAGAGCAAGACTGTCTCTAAAAAAAAAAAAACAAAAAACAAAAACAAAAAAACGGGCGTGGCACGCCTGTAATCCTAGCTCTCTGGGAGGCTGAGGCGGGCGGATCCCTTGAGGTCAAGAGTGCAAAACCAGCCTAAGAGCGAGACCCCATCTCTACTATAAAATAGAAAGAAATTCATTGGCCAACTAACATATATAGAAAAAATTAGCCGGGCATGGTGGCGCATGGCTGTAGTCCCAGCTACTTGGGAGGCTGAGGCAGCAGGATTGCTTGAGCCCAGGAGATTGTGGTTGCTGTGAGCTAGGCTGACACCACGGCACTCACTCTAGCCTAGGCAACAAAACGAGACTCTGGCTCAAAAAAAAAAAAAAAAAGACAGTAATAAAAAGTACTTTGTTTGAATTATTTCCACAGCTGGTATAAAGCAAATTACAGCATGGCTGAGAAGTTAGACTGGGGCCGAGGAATGGGCTGTGACTTTGTCAGAAAGAGCTGTAAATTCTGGATTGATCAACAGAGACAAAAGTAAGAATGCATTTCCTTACAAGATCACTGGTTACACAATTCATTTCTGATTTTGTTCTTTATCCTAAACCTAAAATGTTAACGATTGTCAAAATGTGGTCTGAGCAGTTGAATTTCAAAATGTGTAGAAAACCATTGACAAGTGCTTGGTAATAATATTAAAATAAGAGTAGCTGCAATATTGTTCTGAATTTTATACTCAAAGAATCCACAGTGATGGGGCCAGAGCCATGAATAATTTCTATTTAGCTTATAATTTATAAATATATATTTTGCAAACTTTTTTTTTTTTTTTTTGCATATTAGGTGGCTTATTTTATTGGGTATCATTGCCAGAATTACAGAACACGTTCTTACATTTAGGAAACTACCCTGAGACACAGGCCTAGAAGGCTGCGAGGGACAGAACTGGGCCCGTGAAGTTTTTGCAAACTTTTTGCATACTATCATTCTTATTGTTTTCTCCAGAAAATGCACATATAAACATAGATGAAAATGTTGATTCTATATCAAAAAAACACAAAGGTATTTTTGAAAAGTTGTTCTCAACCCCAGATGCATATCATAATCACCTAGCAAACTTATAAAATACAGAGTATGTATCTTTTTGATGGAGGGAAATATATGTACATCTGAAAATACACATACATACAGTCATTCTACAGTATCTGTAGGGGATTGGTTCCAGGACCCCCTGTGGATTCCAAAATCCACAGATACTCAAGACCCTTATGTAAAATGTATTTTCATATAACCTGTGTACTTTAAATCACCTCTAGATTATTTATAATAACATACAATGTAAATACCATGTAAATAGTTGTTATACTATATTGTTTAGGGAATAATGACAAGAAAAAAAAAGATTTGTACATGTTTATTTAGTACAGATGCAACCATCATTTTTTCCCCAGACATTTTTTTTTTTTTTTTTTTTTTTGAGACAGAGTCTCGCTTTGTTGCCTAGGCTAGAGTGCCGTGGCGTCAGCCTAGCTCACAGCAACCTCAAACTCCTGGGCTCAAGCGATCCTCCTGCCTCAGCCTCCCGAGTAGCTGGGACTACAGGCATGCGCCACCATGCCCGGCTAATTTTTTATATACATATCAGTTGGCCAATTAATTTCTTTCTATTTATAGTAGAGACGGGGTCTCGCTCTTGCTCAGATTGGTTTCGAACTCCTGAGCTCAAACGATCCGCCCGCCTCGGCCTCCCAGAGAGCTAGGATTACAGGCGTGAGCCACCACGCCCGGCCCCCAGACATTTTTAATTGCAGTTGTTTGATTCCACAGGTGCAAAACCCACAGATTCTGAAGGACAATTATAATATATATATATTTAAACAGTACATGGGATTGCTGTATATTTTTTACAATGATCTCAAAATAAAAAGTTAAATATACATAAATATATAAACAATATATAAATAAAGTCCTCTTTATCCAATTTCCATGATAGATAGCATCTTGCAAAACTATAGTACAATATCACAACCAGAATATTGACATTAATACCATCAGATATAGAACATTTCTATCACCACAAAGATCCCTTATGTTGCCCATTTATAGCCATAGCCACATCCATCCCTCTCCAGCTCCTTTTTAACCCCTGGAAACTACTAATCTGTTCTCCAGTTCTGTGATTTTGTCATTTCAAAATGTTATATAAATGGATTTGTAGTGTATGTAAACTTTGGGAATTGGCTTTTTTTACTCACATAATTCTCTATAGATTCACCCAGGTTGTTGTATATATCAATAATTTGAATCTTTTTATGGCTAGATAACATTCCATGGTATGGATATACCACAGTTTGTTTAAACATTCACATATTGAAGGACATCTGAGTGATTTCCAGTTTTTGGCTATTATGAATAAACATTTAGCTATAAATATTTGTATTACAGTTTTTTACATAAACAGATCTTCATTTCTCCATGATAAATGCCCAAGATTGCAATTGCTGGTAGTTGCAGGTTTAGTTTTATAAGAAACTGCCAAGCTGTTTTTTAAAATGTTTGTAGTTTAGATGGACATGGTAGTGTGTGCCTGTAGTCCCAGCTACTCAGGAGGCTAAGGCAGGAGGCTTGCTTGAGCTCAGGAGATCAAGGCTGCAGTGAGCTATGATCATGCCACTGCACTTCACCCAGGGAAACAAAGCAAAACCCCATCGTAAAAAAAAAAAAAAAAAATTCTCCACTGCTATCTCTGGCTAAAAAAAAAAAAAAAGATGTGCCATTTTATGTTCCTGCCAGCAATGTATAAGTGATATAATTTTCCACATCTTTGCCAGCATTTGGTGTTGTCACAATTTTTTATTTTATCTATTCTGATAGTAGCATAGTACTATTAATATTTTATTGTGGTTTTAGTTTGCATTTCCCTAATGGCAAATGATGCTGAAGCTTATTTGCTATCTGTATATCCATTTTAGTGAATTGTCTCTTTGTGTCTTAAGCCAGTTTTCTAATTAGATTGTTTTTTACTGTTGAGTTTTGAGAGTTATTTGTATAGTCTAGATACCAGTCCTTTGTCAGATATGTGGTTTGCAAATATTTTCTTCTAATCTGTGGCTTGTCTTTTTATACTTTTATAGAACAAATGTTTTTAGTTTTGAATTCCAGATGATCAATTTGTCATTTTATTAATTATGTCTTTAATGTCAAGTCTAAGAACTCTTTCCAAAGCTCCAGATCCTGAAGTTTTTCTTATATTTTTTCCAAAAGTTTTATAATTTTGTGTGTTTGTTTTGTTTTGTTTTTTGAGACAGGCTCTCACTCTGTTACTCAGGATAGAGTCTAGAATTCAGTGGCATCGTCATAGCTCATTGCAATCTCAAACTCCTGAGCTCAAGTGATCCTCCTGCCTCAGCTGCCTGAGAAGCTAGGACTATGGGGGCATCACTATGCCTGGCTAATTTTAACACTTTGTGAGACAGAGTCTTGCTACATTGCTCAGGCTGGTCTCAAACTCCAGGCTTCAAGTGATTCTCCTCCCTCAGCCTCTCAAAATGCTAGGATTACAGGCATGAGCCACTGTGCCCAGCCTAACTTTATGCTTTATGTTTAAGTCCATGATCCATTTTGAGTTAAGTTTTGTGTAAGATGGGAGACTTGGATCAAGATTCATATTTGTATATGGATGTCCAAATGTTCTGGCACCATTTGTTTTTTGGTTTTGTTTTGTTTTTTTTGAGAGGGAGTCTCACTCTGTCACCTGGGCTAGAGTGCTGTGGCATCAGCCTAGCTCACAACAACCCCAAACTCCTAGGTTCAAGCGATTCACCTGCCTTGGCCTCCCAAGTAGCTAGGATTACAGGCACAGGCTACCATGCCCAGCTAATTTTTCTGTTTGTAGTAGAGACAGGATCTCACTCTTGCTCAGGCTGGTCTTGAACTCCTGACCTCAAAAGGATCTGCCCGCCTCAGCCTCCCAGAGTGCTAGAATTACAGGCATGAGCCACTATGCCTGCCCAGCACCATTTGTTGAAAAGGCTATCTTTCCTCCATTACACTGCTTTCGTACCTTGCCCAAAACAATCAGTTGGGTATATTTGTGTGGGTCTATTTCTGGGTTCTCCATTCTGTTCCATTGATCCATTTGTATATCCCTCCACCAATAACATACAGTCCTTGATTAGTGTAACTATGTAAGTAGTCTTGGCATTGGGTAGACTCATCCTACTGTATTTTTTTTTCAAATTTGTTTTGACTAGTTTGCTTCCTTTGCCTTCTGATACAAATTTACAGTAATCTTATCTATATCTATAAAAAAAATCTTTCTGGGGTTTTGCTAGGAATTGCATTAAACCTGTGTATCAGTTTGGGAAGAATTAACATCTTTACTATATTGAGTTTTCCAATTATGAATACCATGGGGAGAGAACAGTCTTACATCATTACATATATGTAGATTTTTTTTTTTTTTTTTTTTTTTTTGAGACAGAGTCTCACTTTGCTGCCCAGGCTAGAGTGAGTGCCATGGCATCAGCCTCGCTCACAGCAACCTCAAACTCCTCAGCTCAAGTGATCCTACTGCCTCAGGCTCCCAAGTAGCTGGAGCTACAGGCATGCGCCACCATGCCTGGCTAATTTTTTGTATATTTATTTTTACTTGGCCAATTAATTTCTGTTTATATTTTTAGTAGAGATGGGGTCTCACTCAGGCTGGTTTTGAACTCCTGACCTTGAGCAATCCGCCCACCTCGGCCTCCCAAAGTGCTAGGATTACAGGCGTGAGCCACCGCCCCCGGCCTAAATATGTAGATTTTTTAGAAGATACTCTTTATCAGGTTGAGAAAGTTTCCTTCTATTTCTGTTTTCCTGAGAGTTTTTATCATGAACAGATGTTGATTTTTGGTTTTTGTTTTTGTTTTTTTTTAATTTTTATTTTTATTTTATTTTAGCGTATTATGGGGGTACAAGTGTTAAGGTTACTTATATTGCCCACGCCTCCCCTCCCCCCTCGAGTAAGATGACTTTTGTTAAATGATTCTTCTGCTCTAGTTGATCTACATAATCATGTGATTTTTCAAGAAAAATTATCGGATAAAATTATATCGATTTTCAAATATTAAATCAGCCTGTATCCTTGGAATAAATCCTACTTGGTCATAGTATGTAATTCTCTATATTGCTGAATTCTAGTACTGATATTTTGTTATAGATTTTTGTGTCTATTCATTAGGAATATTGATCTGTAGTTTCATTTTTCTTCCCCAATTATTTTACCTTTAGTTAATAGATAGGGCTATCACAACAGTTGTATTATGTCAGTTAAACTTTATCTTATTAAAATCTAACACATTTTGAAAAGCAAATGTATAAAATAGTAATAATTATCACTAAATAAGAAAATAATGGGCTTCCCTGTCATACTTAAATATTGGCTTGATGTTAAATTATTTAATACTCTGAAGAAATCAATCACAGTATATAACAAGGTGTTTATCTCATGCTCTATTTACATTTTCATTTAGTTGAATATATTTTGAAGTTTC